ATCTCATAGGATCTCATAAACGTCCTATAGGATGTTCTTGATGCTTCGTCGCGGGCCCGCCGCCACTGTCTCTCTAGCCGTCTTAGTTCCCGCTTCATAAGCCGTAACCCCTGGGTATACCAGAGGGCCAGCCTAGGGCGAGAACGCAGAGGGCGCCGGGGAGCGATCTCATTGATGGCTGTGGAAAGCCGGTCATGCCAGTCCTCCACAAGCTCATCTAATGAGCCGCCAGGGGGCATCGGATCCCGCAGAGCCATCTGGAGCCGCACGTGGTCCATTTGGTTCCGCGGGCGAGCTAAAATCTGCTCGCCGCCTAAACATGGTCAGGGTGGGGCATTTACAGATAATCAAAACCCTCTCTCATAGATATAATTCTACAACTACTTTTTGATTATTCCTAAGAGGAAGCAATGACAACTAAAATTACTAGTCCGGTTACTAGCACTGAGTATTCAACATGAAAATGTATGTATGTACCTGCTTAAAAAGCTTAGATCTTTCAAAATGGCTCCAGCGTAGTCTTCCACTATGTCGGATTTAACTGGAATTAGGCCAAACCTGGGAACATCTGTACATTGTGTTGTAAAATAGTCAAAAGTATTTAAAATACTCAGAGTATCAATGGATCTTGCTCTATTGGAAAAAAGAGATTTCTTTGCACTTAAAAACCTTTATTTCTAAGGGTAAAAGGTATACAGGAAACCTACAAAATAACAAACTCCTAAGAGCTACATTTTCTAAGCTGCTTACAGTTCAAATCATTGTTACACACTACACACAGATAATGGAGAATCTGTCCTTCTTCTCGACCCCTAGAAAGGAAGTCACCTGAAAGAAGCAACCAATCTGTATCACAATGTAAGTTACTTTTCCCAGGCTAATTCCCCATTGGCTCTGTGCCAGGTTTCCCTTCCAGGTCAGTCTAAACAATAGCAATACTAGGTAAACAACTTAGCCCTATAATGACTGGATTGTCAGACCTTGTAAACACATAAATTTCCAACACATTGTTGATAAATGTGATATTCATTAACCACAGAAAGAAAATTATCAGTTCATAAAAGTACCAAAAGGAGTATACGTTATATGAGAGATGCTATATATCATCATCTCCTTTCATTGTACTGCATATATTATTATATTTAAAACTACAGTAGAATAAAGCTCAATATGCATTGCTCTCAGATCAAATGTAATATGGATATTATTCTTGGAAATGGTCATCAGCTCTTTTCTTTTTTAGACTCAGCTGATCTGCCCAAACTGTTCTGGCCACACTGATCCATACTTCTGTTACTTCACAGTTTGATTAGTATAATGCTCTCTATATTGGGCTATCCTTCAAGACAACCCAGAAACTGCAACTGGTCAGAATGCGACAGGCCAACTATTGTCAAGGATACCCAATGTTAACTATTTTGAAATAAATACACGGACTGTCAGTTTGTTTCCAAGTTGAACTCAAGATGTTGCATATGAATTTGTGCGAGTGAACAACAACAAAAATTGCCAGGGGACCACATATCTGAAGGACTGTATCTTTCCATGTGTTCCTGTGCACCAACTATATTTTTCAGGCTGCCACCAGTTGGGTATACCCACACCTAGAGTGTTGCACCTGGCATTAACCAGAGTCCAGACCTTTTCTATTGTGGCTCCATTGTGTGGAATAGGCTTCCTGAACAGGTGAGGGATGGCTCCTCATTGGAGAACTGTAGGAGGCCAGTGAGGACTACTTGTTTGACAAGGCTTTTGTTGGACTATGAATAGCAGACATCTTTTAGAGGGGGAAGGGATTTTTATTGTTATTAGTTAGTTTGAACTTGTAATATTTTGTTCCTGTAAATCACCTTGAGCCAAGAAGAAAGGTGGGGTAACATTTTTATAATTTAATAATTTTAAAATAATTTAATGAAGTAAAGTTCTTGTCTTCAATAATTTTTAAAAATAAAGATGACTATTTTAACTCAGGAAGCAGGGTATGTTCACGCAAGCATGCTTATATTGTCCACTTGTAATTGAGATCAAACAAGCTGGAGACCTGCAAGGACTTGCAGGGGGCATCTCATTTCTCCCTCCCTACTATTTCTTCTTTCCCTTCCCTGAAAGCCCCCATAGCTTCTCCCTTTTTTCTGCTTTCTTCTCTCCTTCCCACCCACTAGCTATCCTACCTTTTATCTGTAGAAAAAAAAAGAGTCCAGTAGCACCTTAAAGACTAACAAAATTTGTGGTACTCTATGAGCTTTCATGAGTCACTGCTCACTTCTTCAGATACAGCTACTTCTTCAGATACTCTAATCACTATACTACACTGGCTTTTGTGGGGTAGCTGCTGTTGAACAGTAGCAAGGAGTCAGTCCAAGGTGATGCATGCTGGTCATGTGGTATTAAGTCAGCCCCACTAAATCTTCCCTCAAAAAACAAAGCAACACTAGCATAGTCCCTGCTCCCTCCTCCTGCCTTTTATTGACAGAAGACACGGCTTGACATCTGGTAATACTGATGTGGATGCCTAGCAACAGCCACTGAAGGCATTCTTCATAGAGCTCAAGGTGCAGCTTCTATCATATTTGGAAGGTTTTAACCTGCCCTCTCTCATGTTTCATTTTGTTTGTTTGTTCGTTTTTAGATTTCAAATTGTTCTGCAAATCTGGAGCTTTTTTCTGGTTTGTAGAAAGATCAATCTTGCCAGTGTCCAGGTATAAATATCCACAGATTTGGCCATGTTAAGAACTGAATATATTTATACTTTCACATCACTTAACATTGACTCAAGCACAATACTTCTCAGTGACAGCTATCCATTCACATATTCAGTGGCAAGTTATCAAGTGATCATTGAGAAGACATTGTGAGACATTAAGTGATGCACCTGTGTGAATGCATCAGGCTGCAGTTTAAGCTAAAAAGGAATCCAAGTATACTCCATTATTGGTCATCGTTGTTATGGCACTCCAAACTGATGAGCAAATTCTCCTCAGCTTACTTTTCCAAGCTTTCATTGCAAGTGCTTTTAAAAAAGGTTTTTTAGTGCCCTTAGAGGGAGGTTAGTATAAACAGGAGTAATCCTTCAGTGATCTTTCCAAACCCTACTCAAATAATTTCCCTTCTACCAAGCTTATCGGGTTGTGGGGGCAGTGGAAACAGCAAAGAGCCTAACACTTTCTCAGGCTCCAATAAAAAATGGAAACCATGAATTCTTATACTCAGGAATGGAGGGTAATTCCATGCCCATTGGGATTGCCCCTCCTACCAGAGACAGCACCACTTCCAGCTCACTAAGAATTACTCCTCCAGATAAGGGGCTCCTCCTTCCCAGACTGTACTGGAAAAATCAGGATCACCCCTACAATGACCATGCATGACAACAGTAATGACCAAAAAGTGTAATGAAACAACAGCAGGAAAGATGAAAAGGAACAAAACCTATATGTCCCTTCCTACCATACCACTTATAGACTACCACCCAGAAAATGGGCCATGCCATCATGCCTCCCCTGAGAATTGGAATTAGTGGTAAGAAATTTCATTTTTCCTGTAGATGCATGAGTACATTCCATATTCACGGGGATATACAAAAGCAGTGTTTCTTGAGAAGTATTTAGGGGATTAATTTCTCTGACAGTGAAGAGCTCTTTGCAGAACCTTCCTGCCAAGACAAGAACCCATCTATTTTAAAGTGTCCAGGGAAGGAGTGCACTGGGGCCCAAGTTGCTGCCCTACAAATGTCACCCATTGGTATATTGTTCAAGAACACAGCTGAGGCTAGTACAATGGACATATCATCCTTGCAGGAGATTTTCCCAGGGCCTTTAAATAATTTCTACTGATTACCTTAACTAACACAGTACAACTTAGCTAACATGATTTTAGAGAGCTAATCAGGAGCACATTGTCAGAATGGAAAATACATGTGTTCAGGTTAGCAGACATCAGTCCTAATTCAGAAACCATCCTGGTACAAATAATAACTACCAGAAAGAGAGTTTTAAAGTTTTTTTAGTAGGGCAGTATCCATTGGTCCCTGTGTACACACAGTTCAGTTCCAGCTGGGGACATGATAAACTGTGGAGGCTTTCTCAGTACCAACACTTTCAATAATCTAAATATATAGGGACACATAGCCAGGGATTCTTTACCTTTAAAATGCCTGCACACATTCTTCCTCTCCAGGGTTGTTCCCCTTCCTGTGCACTGCTGCATGAACAGGGGGCATTTTTCCTATCCTTGGTCTCAAGCAGCTTTGTGTGGACAAATCATGAAAAGGCTGTGTACACCAGCCTCCTCTGAGATAGTGAATCCACATCTCATTGCCTTAGCTGAACATTTTTTCTGGCATCAACATTTGAAGCCATGGCCCTGGTGTCCAGTCCAAAGGCATCAAGAGATCAAGGCTGGCAAAAGTTATATTTTCCTCAGTCTGTTTGGGCATCTCTTTTCTTGGAGAGTCCCCCTGCCCACTGAGAACAGCCCTAGAAAAGACTGAATAAGTAACCAAAGTTTCTGAAGAGGCTGTTTTTCATGAGTGCAGCATGCACCCATTTGTCACAAGTATCACTAGGATCTCCTTTGTCTTCCAATTGCATTACAACTGTGAGAGGGCTGCTGCTGGAGTACCAGTCACTGGTGTCTTGAAAGGTTCCATTAAGACCATTTGGAAGGAATAAAACCTGTTGATTATCTTATTAATTGTCTTTGAGCTGGGGAAGCTTATTTGTCACTAATAACTCTGTCCAAGGCTTCTGTACAAGGTACAGTGATAGACTAAGCTGGCCCCAAAGAGAAACCCTCCTTTCCCTCCTTCAGTAGCAATAGTGTATTGTGTTTGGTCAATTTCAGAGTGTGTGTAGTCCTGGCCAACATTCTAGGGAAAAGCTTTTGGGGAAAATAATGGTTAAATTGTGACCTGGCCTATTCTCCTCCTCTGATTGTTCCCCTGCCTCCTTCCTGGATACTTAGAAAGCCTCTGTCCTGTCAACGGGGAGAGGGGGGGCTGGTACTCAAGGAACCTTGATCCAGGGGCTAACTAGGCTATTCATGTGCTGGGGAATGCTGTGACTCCCCTCCCCAGCTTGGGAAAGAGGCCCATTGCCTTTGGTTACAGCCTTCCCTGTGGCTCTGCCTGGATACCTCAGATCTTGAGCTGCCACTATTGGAACTCTCACAGTGCTGCTGGCATAGAATCTATAACCTGTTGCAACACCATACACTGTATCCATGACATGAACCTGGGGTAGGGTAGGGTAGAAATATTAAAGAAAGGAGACCTTAAGCTTTAGATTGCAAGATGAATTGTGGCACTTCAGAGAGCTCTACAGGGACCCTGTTCCCCTGTTATGACACAGGACTAGTCTGGGGGAAAGTAGACACTCACCCTTCACAAACTAGCCCTGCTTCCTCCTCCAGTAGGAGGTACAACCCCAATGGATCTCAAAGGCCCTCATGTCTCTAATGGAGAGCAATGCAATATCAGCATTCTACATGCAAGACCACATAAAAAATGTAAGATGGACAAAGGAGTCCTGAAATAAATGCATTTCTCTGTACACTTTGCTTTTCAAGCAGCCTGAGAGACCGAGCAATGTAGAGAGGGAGAGCTTTTGCAATTACCATGCCAATGTAAGGATTAATGCAGTATAAGGAAAAGAGCAGTGGGAATGGAAGGGAGAGCTGGAGAGCCCCACACAAAATCGTGTGGGACTGGGCCTGAATTTAAAAGGATCAGGACGCCTGTTCATACAGAGGTGAGCAAGTTCACACTGAGGACTTCAGTTCATTGCTAATCCCAACATCAAACACGTAGCAACACCAAACAGTGCAATTATGATGTCTAAATTTCAATACGGTATTAACTCCAGTTAGAGGAAGTATTTGTAATCACCATACTCACCCCAAAGCACAAAGAATTCCAAACAAAAATATTTAATAGAGGTGCAAATTGCCAGTGCATTTCTTGCACTATAGTAATTGTTATATAGGGTCTTGTCCCATCTAGCATCAGACTCACTGAGGCATTAAAAATCAATTAATTAAAAGGATGCTTACTGAGTATACCAATTTGTTCTTAGAATGAACCAGTTACAAATTGGTGCAACTTCTGGGCCCATCACCCTCCTGATGATTTACTAGGAGTGCAGTTGAACTAAGAAGTTCCCTTGTAGTCAACTCACCTGAAAGGTAATCTCTTCACCCCTCATCCTGGTGTGGATCCACCCAGTCACTAATGGTAGCCTACCAGTGCAATCCTAACCAAAGTTACAACCTTCTGATTTTACTGGATTTAGAAACTCTGCTTAAGATTGCACTGCAAAAGTACTGAAATACTTCAGAAACAATTTACTAGTACTTATTTCAGGATGGCAGTACTGCCACTAATGTCAAAACAGTGCAGTCAAAACTGGTTTTTCAAAGTACCAAGCATTTATGATTACAGCTTACAGACATTCATGTTCATGGTTCAAGACCTCTATACCTTTAACTGTGACTTCACTCTGTTGAAGGAAGAGGTTTGAGGTGTTTCGCACTGGAAAAGCATCCCCAAGATCACACAGGCCAACTATTGTGGTTGCAGTATTCCACAGATGTTCATAATCATTCTTAATTTCTTTTCCCATTTCTAACTTTAAGCCTGCATAGAAGAGTTACATATAAGTGTGGTCTAAAATAACCCTAAAATAACAGTCTTTTCCTTAGCTCATCATTGCAGGTGAATTCAATGCTACCTGTAAGAAGTCTCAGTCACGGATCAGACTTAACTCTGCTTCTTAGGTTTGTTCACATATTGATCAGAATTTAGGCCTTTCCCTGTCTGTAGTGTTAACTGTTATGAAACTTCCATGAACCATAGCAGGCAGGGCTCTTTTTGTAGCAGGAACTTATTTGCATATTAGGCAACACACCCCTAATGTAGCCAATCCTCCAAGAGCTTACAGTATCCCCTGTAAGAAGAGTTCTGTAAGCTCTTGGAGGATTGGCTACATTAGGGGTGTGTCGCCTAATATGAAAAGGAGTTCCTGCTACAAAAAGAACCCGCAGGGATCATTTATCTGTGGGAATCAAGTAAACCAGTGGATTGGCTCAGATGTGCCAATGTTTCAAATGATTAGCAAGCTATTGTTATTTGTATTGATGCAGAAGATACATTGTAGTTCATGGGTCCCAGTTAGTATATGCATGACGATCCCATGCTCAACCCAAGGGAAGTATTCTGCTGGAGAAAGATGGAATGGAACAATGCAGGAGGACATTTATTTATTTATCGTATGGTACAGGAGGACAATCTTTTGGGGGTAGACTAGAAGATGGCTAGCCAGGTCAGGGAAGGCAGTTCAAAGGGGTAGTACTTCAGCCCTCCTGACATGGACATCTTGGAAGCTAAGCAGGGTCAGCCCCAGTTAGTATTTAGATGGGAGACCACCAAGGAAGTCCAGGGTCATGACACAGAGGCAGGCAGTGGCAAACCTGCCTTTGAATGTCTCTTTGAAAACCCTATGGAGTTACCATAAGTCAGCAGTTTCCACTACCACACCACAGCCCTTGCCTGGGTGGTAACCCAGGTGATGAGGGCGAGGCCAAGGGGTGGGGTGGGGCTAATTAAAGGATCAAGGAGGGGCATTTAAGGAGACTCCAAAACCAGGCTAAGGAGAAGAGAGGAGGTGCTAGCCTCAGCCAAAAGCACAATCTCCCAAGGAGAAAGAAGATAGACTTGGCTGCTATAGCCCTTGCTCCTGTTCTCTTCACCACTATTCTGAGGCTTTGGGAGCCCCAAAGAGGTGTGATGCAATGGCAGAAGAAAAGGAGGCAACACTGGCAAGGGAGGACCCTCACGGTATGAGCTTCTCATATAGTTGTGGAATGCAAAACACTGTGACAATCAGCAAAATAGCATTAACATGTTGGCGTGTTGGGAGATGTCTCCTTTGGATTTTAATGGAGCTATGTAAGGGGCAGCACACTTTGGGGGCGGGAGAGCTAACTAGCTTGACACAGATTCAAATCAACCCCATATTCTATCAAAATTAATTCTTTACAGAAGAGCCCATTTGACCACAAGTGGAGAAAAAGCCCTGACTACTGTCTCTTCCCCTCCCCAGTTCAACTCCAGTCTGACTAGCTAGCTCATTCTCTGGCATTTGTCATTGCAGGGGCTGGGGTTCTTTTCCGGATCCTGCAGAGTCCAGTGACTTCTACACAGGGACCCAGTTGAAGGTTCAGGTATAATCATGGTTGTCCCTTAGGCTAACACACCTAGTGGGATACATCAACATAATTCTAATTCTAACATAGCATACAAATATGTCAAAAATGTATACTTGACATAAAAAACTAGTCATTATTAGTTTATTTTAAGATGAAATATGAAATTGTTCAGGACCATAATAGAAGTACCTGCACAGTATTCTGATTCATAGTAATGCACAAGATTCTTCCACAGAAAGATGTCTCGCAAGTCTGGCAGATACGTGAAATCCAATTTCCAGTCATTCACAGTATTCAGATGTTTCAGAACAAGGTAGTCACATCGTTGTAGCTATTGAAACAGAACATAGTGCAGCAGGTTTCACAGGAGATTTATTATTCTGATCCGAAGTGCATTGAAAGATCAGACAGCCATGAGAAACTACAGTATATCAGAACACATAAGTAAGCTCTTGGGAGATTCCACCAAGATTTCAACCATTTTCACTCCACCATCAACCTGAGCATGGGTCCATGCGAGAATATTTTCTAGACACCATTATGTTACAAACACATTTGTTTTGATCCCTCAGACAGGGTCTCTCACTTGGAATATTTAAAGCTAGGACTGTCATGTTTATAATACCTTCCTAATGAGGGAAAGAAACAAATTGACAAAGCCAAACAAGTATCCAGAGACAGTGTGCTACAAGAAAGACCCAAATCAGCTAACAGCAGAACACTTTTAGCCCCATAGTCCCAACTGGTACAACACATCAATTATTTGCAGTCTTTCCTGAGCCCGTTCGCGGGATGGGCGGGATATAAATATAATAAATAAATAAATAAATAAATAAGGATATTTTCTCTTTCACAGGTCTTGGAGGTCTTGGAGGTCAGGCCTTTCCTTGTTTACAGACAGCTCCCCCCCCAAACAACTTCTCACACAGCAGAGACACAACAGAAAACCAGGCAACATATGTGTATGCCAACTTTGTCCCCATATATACTCAGATAATACTATCACGGGACTTAATAACATCAGCTACACCTTCTTGGTCTCACACACTTGCTCATAATCCAATTTAATACATGCCAACATGTGCCAGCAATGCCCTTCTACTACCAACATTATGCAAATGGGTCAGAAGCCATTTGAAAAAATAAATACACACAAATCTGACATAAAAATCACAACATTCAGAAACCATCGGTGGGAACCCTTTAATCTTCCTGGACACACTGTTGCATTCCTTAAAGTTAGGGCCACTATCAGCATACCCTGAGGTGGGACAGCTGCCAAGGCCAAGGTTGCCAGAAGGGCCCAGGGTTTCTGGCAGGACCCACTGCTGTCTACCTCTCCCCCACACTACTTATTTTCTAGTGCTCCTTCATGCTCCAAGCTACACTCACTGCTCACTGCCCACTGCCACTGGGGAAATGGCTGCAGGCAGTGGTGATCAGGGGCAGTGACAGAACTCAGAAGAAGGCAGGGGAAGGGCATACAGGCTGGTAGGAGGCATGTGGGTGGGAGGAGGCAAGTAGGGCTTATGTGGGGTGGCTGATGGGGGGTAGGGAGCCCTCAGAACCCTCTGCCTGAGACCCATCAAACCCTAGAACAAAACCTGCTTAAAGTCACTGTTCTACAAATAGAACAAAATTTGAGACCAGTGGCACCTTTAAGACCAACAAGTTTAATTCTGGGCATAAGCTTTTGTGTGTGTGCAGAATTAAATTTGTTGGTATTAAAGGTACTACTGGTCTCAAACTTTGTTCTGTTGCTTCAGACCAACATTACTACTCACCTGTTCTACAAACAAACACTTTAAAGGAATAATCCAATGTGAAAGTGCTGAATTAGAGCTTATCAAAAGATTAAACCCGATGTCACATCCTAGTTTAAACAGAAGCTTGGATTTCCTAAATCACTATAGTTGGTAACAGATAACCCACCCATTAGAGATTTATTTACTTAAAATATTTTAAAGCTACTCCACTTACGGTCCCCAAGGTAGAAAACAATAAAAACATGGAGAAGTTGCTACACTAAAGATACAGATGATGGGCAGATTTTCAGTGCGTGACCACACCGCAACATCTGGGAAGCATAGTTCACCTGTGTCTAACCCGTGACTTCCCACCGAAGATGCAGAGTAAAAAAACTACCGCATACAATGTACTAGTTTCCGGAAAACGCAGGGCAAAGGTGGGCATCTGATCGTATTTCCGCTCGAATCCCGTGGCATCTGGCACCCGTCCATATCCCATTTCAAACCAGATTTTTTTTTAAGTTTCCAGCTTTCTTAGCTCAATGGAAGTTATATATTGAACTCAGAGCTCAAAACTTTCCCAATGATATGTTTTGTAATCAGTCTCTTAAAGGGGCAAGCCGCCAAATGGGCTACTCCCTTTTTAGTAGAACCATCTCCCTTGTTGTCAAACTTCCAAGGGTTTCTCGCTCAGTTATCAACTGCCTATGCTAATCCAACTAGTAAACCTGCTTTGAAATGAAAGTGTGGTTGTCAAATTCCTGGAGAAAAATGCCCTGTCCTATTTGAAGAGGCTTAATAGGATGTTATTTGTCAGGTAATATTCTTTACCTCCATGTCATAAAAAGATTTAACTGCTCATTATGCCCCTATTAAATTGACAGTGCACTTTTCTCTAGACTTGTTAGTAACCATAAATGGAATACCGCCCACCCTCCCACATTTTACCTGATATCATTTCATCAACATTAATTCACAGCTCTTCCCCTATAAGCACAATAGAACATTGGTGGGTCTATTTATCACCTCATCCCATAAGAATAAACTGTTATTGACCTACCATCTCTATAAATGGGAAGGCCTGTACAGTCCAGCGGGACTTGATGGTTCTAATTTGAGCTCGCTGTGAAAGTGGCAAGTTACAAAGAAAAGCCACACTGAGGCACTGAATTCTACAAAGATCTGCTGCTTCTTCCATTGTTAACTCTTTTATTATGTCCTGTTGTGAAAAGACAAGGTATTTTGAGTTTCATTTTTAATTTCTGAGCTGTATTTTGAATATAATTTACATTTATTATTTTCAATATAAGTATTTAAAATCTGTATCAATCAATTTCTTACAGCATTGTGAAAAGATACCATTATCCTTCATAGTGATTAGGAACTGACATAGGGCTGCCAACCTCATGATGGGGCATGGATATCTCCCAGAATTACAACGAATCTCCAGACTATAGGCACCAGTTCCTCTTGGAAGGTGGATTGTATGGCATTATAACCTGCTGAAGTTCTTCCTATTGGGATTCACTGGTTAGTTAGTCCAGTATCCCATTTCAAGCTTAGCAGAGTGCTTCAAGTTGCACACACAGCAGTGTCTTTGTTTCAGGTATCCAAGCCAAGTTACAAAGTTACACAGAGCCACTTGTCAGTTTCAAGACTAATAATAGTCTCTCTAGTTTAGGAACTACATTCTAGACAGGAAAGCTTAGAGATAGGTATAGTATACTTGTCTAACTAACTAGGATGGATGCAGATGGTGAAAGGGCCATCTCCATCATGGTGCCAAGATGGAGACAGTGTGTATGCAAGGAGAAGTGTGTTGTGGGAGACAATGAACAGAAGGAAGGAAGAAGTTCCCTGACAGTAGTATTCTACATATCAAAGGGAGAGTGGCAGAAGAGTAAACACAGGAAGGAAACCTAGAAGTCTGCCTCTCTAGCTATCTGACTCTCTTGCCACATAGTCTGTAGGTTGAGACAGGAGACAGCGTCCAGCTCTTCACTTCCAACACCTCTCCTCTTCCAACCTTGCCCTCTCCGGGCGCCACCTCCAGATTTCCCACCCCAGAGTTTGCAACCCTAAATTGAGGGCTTGGTCTCTTAACTGTTCATTAAAAAAAAAAAAGATTTGATGGCTCTCACTCCTTACAAGAGAGTCCAAATGTGTTGTTCACACGGAAGCACACACACACCTGCAACTAACTGACCTAAAAGGTAAAGTCTCTGACATCTGAATATCATGGAACTAAGAAATAGTACTTTGTCCCTGTTTTCAAACCAAGTACTGTTCTCTGGAAGGTGAAAAACAAGTAATCTTATTTGTTTCCCAACAAATTTATTTAAAGAAAGGATCTGGCAAGAACTTTTAGAACACATTCTTGCTAGATTTTACTTCATGATATCATGTTTTGGTTGCTAGTTACCCAGATAACTTAAGCTTCCCCCTGCCAATTCCACATTCTACCTTTCTCCTCTAACCTCTCCTTTCACCAGTGCTATATATCCCATCCCTATTATATGGTTATTATCTTTTCTCTTACCTCTTCCCATTAAAAAGTAAATCAGATGGGATACCACTGGGACCTCATGAAATAAGTTGATATAATGCTAATTTCTTTAAAGCCCCAAATCTTAGACCATGGAAAAGAAAGGGGGAAAAGCTCTTGGCAGCTGTGATTTTAACAATAATCCTTTCCAGTGTTAAATAAACATTTCACACCTTTTCATTCCTCTGTTCCATTTGTTCTCCTTTTATTTCATCAGTTGTCTTTGCTTTCTCTAACATGCTCTTGTAAATTTTCATTCCCACTGCGCACGTAAGAACGCAGAAAGCACGTCTAAGGTCCGATCCTTCTGGCCACAAATCCTTAAGCAATGATATAGCCTGACAGACCTGCAATCATAATATTTGTTAAAACAAAGTATTTCACCAACAAAAAGATATAATAGATGCCATATTCTTGTGTGATTTCAAACTCAGCCATGGCAAGCAAACAGTATAACACAGTAGCCATTGGGGGAAATCTGAACGCACAGACAGCAACCATTCCTGCACACGTGCGAACCACTGCATCAGCATTCTTAAATCATCGTTTGTTAAACTTTCCACACAATTTTTGGCTGCTCTAGTAGTAGCTCGGAATTTACTGCCCCATTACCCCATGATTTCCAGATCCATGTTTCTTGCAACTTTTTCCCTGTTGGGTATTAACTTGCAGTTTTCAAGTGTGGAATTCCTGAAATTGAATTTTGTTTCATCCAAGTTAAAGAAAAAAATTCCCTAAAATAAATGCCCTATTGTGGAAGGAGTGCCACAAAATCAGAGCATCAGCTGGGGATTCAACTTGCTGGGAAACAGTGGCAACACTGAGGTGCAGAAAAGGTCGGCTTCTGCTTTTCGTGAGAAATTTTGGCGTGTTTCCAAAACTCATCTACAAGATATACACATAGCATGAAAATTTATGAACAGTACAGTGCATGGAACTATAAATATGTTTGTTTGTCTTTCCAAATATATGTAATCATTTTCTGATGTCCGTTTCTGTGTATTTGGAATATGCATACAGAGAAGTTAGTAAATGCCTTATTCAAACTGAAACTGCTTCCACAAGCTACTGAAATATTTACTATTATTTTTCTTGGGAAAAGGGCATCATTGCATATATAGAACTGTACCCTATGATAATGAATGTAGCGGAATGTGCCTGCTCAGTCCTGCAGGCCCTATTCTGCCCTGCCTCTCTGGGTTTTTTTCAACCCCTGAGGAGGTGTTTCTTCTGCTCTCAGATAGTCCACCACTACCACCTGGCCTTTGTACAGAATTATCCACTGGGAGGGTCAGGACCAATGCTCCCTTTAAGCTGTGATCACAACAGGGACAGTTTACTGTCTTGTGCACCCCTGGAGGAATAGCCAGTGGCCAACTGCCTGCCTTCCCCCAGCGTTCCTTTTAAAATGGCATGTCCAAGACAGTGGAAGTCTATGTGGTACAGAGAACCACTCCCAGCATCAAAATTTATAAAGTATTTATTAAAAAGAAAATGTTTACAAGCATACTGTTAGCACAGCACCAAATTGAGCAAGGGATTCCAAAAGAAATGTATAAAGTGCAAATCCTCTGTCCCTCTCTCTATACATGCCCTGTCGGGTGTTAGGAAAAAGGACAGGCTCTTTAGCTTAGGATGCCTCCCCCAGAGCTCAACTAGGAGATCTGCTTCCTCTCAAGAACCCAGCAAAAAAGAGAGCTCCTTCCTGCTGCAAGGAGTTTTTATCATATTTGTTTCTCCTCCCACTGACCAGGTTACGTGAAAAAGAGGCTTTTCCTGGAGATCTCTGGGAATCTCTTTCCTGAAGACTTTATAGCGTTCAATTCCTCCAAAACTCTGTTCTCTGCTTGGACCCACCCATTATCTCTCCTGCTAGAGCTTTTTGCATTTGTGTGAAGGTGAGCTGAGGTATGTCTGGGAAGCAATTGAACCGACTTCCCCCCTCCTGCCTATTAACTGTCCAGAGGGGGGGGAATGTTAAAAAGCAAAATGGATGTTTGGCTTGTTAAGGAATGAACTTGATATTTTGCTTTATGGACTTATTTTTATTGCTACACACACAATGGACTGTGCACATACACCCACAGGCTCAAAGAAAGCTGTACAAGTCACCTGTTGTGATATTACACATAGAAGGTGCCTGCATAAGCCTTACACGTGAATGAGGTTTCGGTTACACAGCACCAACCTGGTGAGGGAGCACACATCTCCAATATTGTCAGCAAAACAACAACTTGAGAAGAAGCAGCCCCCATTGCTAAATTGGTTGTGGTCACGCACTCCACATCTCTGATTTATTTCTGCATTGGCATTTCCTGCCAGATGGACCTTTTATGACCAGAGGAATAGCCAGGCTTCATCTGCACTTCAAGGGAGCTTCCTGATGCCAAGTTTTCACACTTGCCCAGATGCCATCCTTTGAGTTAGGTCTTAGGTTACAATATTGTCCGATTCTCTAGGTAACCACCCCTCACTACATGCAACCAATAGGATTAGTTTTGGGACGGACTAACAGGTAGGTGGGTCAAGAGGTTGGCACAGTTGCCACCCACCCAAAGGACCACCTATAAAAGGTTGGGACCATTCACCTAGGCCTTCCTAGCTAGCAACCCCCGCAAAAAACCCAGTCTGCTTTATACTCCCCTTTTGTCCAGCTTGCTGTACCCAAACCCTTGCCTCTACTTTGATCTCTTGATCTGCAGTCAAGAGACCCACACATGCTGGCTGGTTCTAGTCATGTGATAACTTCCCTAGAGTTCTATTTCTCCCCATCCATTCTTCATTGGAACGAACAAGCTTCAGGACAGATAAGTATCACCCACCATCACCCTACCTGCTAATGCAAACGTGCTTATTTTAATACTGTATTTCTAAGGAGCTTGATTGAATGTGTGAGCGCATCAGTATTGTTTGTATGTGATTTATATTCTTAAGTAAAAGACATTTATTTTAACAACACCAGCCTCGACTCCTTCTCTGGTAACCCTTGGTGGGAAGAGAACCTTGGTAAACACTGGCCTTGGTAAACCCATCTAAAATTTGCCAATTGCTGTAGATAAAGCAATTCGGCTAACAGGCTCATTTCAAACCTCCCAGAAAAAAAAGCCATTTTTTCACACTGAAATATTGGTTACAGGTGCTTGAAGAACAGCAAGATTACAAAGATTTTGAGATCTTATGATTTTGAATATATATTGTATTGGGGTTTTATTATTTATTGTATTATTTTTGTTTATCTGATTTTTTGGGTTATTTCATGTTCTTTTGAGTTTCCAGTTTTTATAACATTGTTGAATTTTTAAATAAATTTGGGGTTTTTTTAAAAAAAAGTAATGATAAAACACAAAACACTAAATCACTTGTGAAAAAAAGATATGTGTCATTAGTTAGATATTCTTATTAAAATATTGTACTATGACCCATGAGTAGGCCCTGTGAAGTCAGGGCAGCAGCCAGAGGTAGTATACTGCATGATTGGGAGGAGAAGGATTGGGCCGGAAGTGACATGCCATGACTGTGGAGAATGCGAAGGCCAGCCGGCAAGTTCAAAGGCTGGCTGTGAGGGAAGCAGGGGAGGAGGCTGCTGGAGTCACAGAAAGAGAGACAGCAGAAGAGCTGGCAGAGGGAGCATCGGGCAGGAGCAATGCAGAGAGTGCAGCTATGGAGAGCTCACTGGAGGCATCACAAGGAGGCCATGCAGGACACAGAGGAATTATTTATTTATTTATTTATTTAGATTTTTACCCCGCCCTTTCAGCAAGGCTGGCTCAGGGTGGCTTACAGCACAATATAGAACAATACAATATAATAATTCAATATACCATATAAAATCCAAGCATACAAAAGTTTAAAACTATGACTATACAGCTTACTAAAGTGCTAGCATTTAATTCCTCACATACAATCCGCTACTTAGTCTCATTCAGATGTCCCAGGCACTCGGGAAAGGCTATACTTGGGGGGACCCCGGGGGTTGGGCTCACTCTCCGTAACTGTCAGATGTCAGTGGTGGTGGTGGCAGCAGCTCCAAAAGCCTGGTGGAAGAGCTCCGTTTTACAGGCCCTGTGGAAATGTAACAGGTCCTGCAGGGCCCTGATCTCCTCTGGGAGCTCATTCCACCAGAATGGAGCTGCCACCGAGAAAGCCCTAGCCCTTGTTTTCACAAGCCTGGCCTCCTTGATGTTCAGGATGACCAGCCGATTCTGGGTCCCAGATCGCAGTGTTCTCTAGGGAACATATGGGGAAAGGCGGTCCCTCAGGTATGCAGGTCCCTGGCCATAAAGGGCTTTAAAGGTAAGAACCAGCACCTTGAACCAAATTTGGTATGCTATAGGCAGCCAGTGCAGTTCTTTTAGGGTGGGCTGGATGTGTTCCTGCACAGGACAACACAGCAACAGCCTTGCCGCTGCATTCTGCACTAGCTGCAGTTTCTGGATCTGGGACAAGGGCAGCCCCATGTAGAGGGGGTAATCCAATCAGTAATCCAATCTCGAGGTGACCATCGCATGGATCACTCTTGCCAAGTCGTTGCATTCGAGAAAGGGGACCAACTGCCTAATCAGCCTGTGATGGAAAAAGGCCAACTTGGCAGTGGCTGCTACCTGGGCCTCCATTGTTAAAGAGATGTCTAGGAGCACTCCCAAACCTCTGGTGCTGGCACCAATGGCACCCCATTGAAGGCCAGGAGTGGGATTCCTACCCCCCGACCACCCCGACTCAGGCACAGGACCTCTGTCTTCATCGGATTCAATTTCAGCCAGTTCAGCCTAAGCCAACCGGTCACAGCTTGTAGCGCCCAGTCCAGATGTTGGGGATTGTGGGACTTGCATGGACAGAAGCTATATGCAATGGGGGCAGAATGGGGGCATTGGCTTAAATTGGGTGGAAAAGGTGGCTGGATGCATGCAACCCAGCATTTTATAATTAGCAATTTATTTAAACTAAAACTTTACCCATATTGTTTTCCAACTGCAAGGCAAACAGCTACTATTTTGGGTGACATTGGTGGTTTAGGTTGCAATGTGAACCTTAAGGGAGTTATGGGATGGTTGTGAATGGTTGTGTGAGTGTATATGTGTATGGCTGTAGATCACTGAAATGATTGCACCTTTAATTTTGTTGTACTGTGTACAATGACAATAAAGTATATTATTATTATTTTATCTCTTCTATGAAAAACAGTTAACAGTTACCTCCTTATGCATCATTCTTACGTTGAACTTCAGATGTTTGTACAGGAATAGTTCCATGTCCTGGAGTTTTGTTAAATGTTTGAGCATAGTTTCCCAAGCATGCAGAATATCCTTTTCATACTAAAATGATAATTAAAGTTATATAGTTATTGAGACAAGAAACTTCAGAACCTTCATAACATTAGAAATGCATTACTGTACCAAGCAACTAGCAATAATGTAAGACAACCTGGACAACAGTAAGTAGGGAAAAGTGTAGCCATATCAGTTTTAAAATATACATTGAAATAAGGTTTAGAGAAATTATGTAAAACTATTTCAACTCACTGGTCTTTCTGCATACAAGGCATGTTATATTGTGCTCTGTTACTGAGCCATAATCCTTCCTCATAAGCTCACAGCTCTGGTTAGCTATAATAGGGAATCTTACCAGTCTTATGTAGACATATACCTTGTAATGAATCAGACCACTGGCAGTATTGTTTGCTGTGGCTGTGAGGGGCTCCCTAGAGACTTTTAGAAAAGGGCATTTCCTGTTTCTTTGGGTTTTTTTAAAACCAGGATTTTCAGAGACTGAACCTATGGCCTTCTAGATGCAAAACATGTGCTCTTGCACTGCCACATTACTTGTGACATGGAGTTCCATGCAGCCATAGGGGGCTCTCTGGACTACTTCCCCAAACAAAACTATACCCCACCCCAATGTTTTTAGCCCCAGTAGGAAAAAAAGACAAGCACAGTGTATGTACTCTCCTCTTT